TTGCAGATTTATCGGTCAGAAGTCAAAGTTCTTGATCACAGGGTCAGTAAAGTGGTTATTTCTAAATGGCCTGGTGCCATGTACCACTATATTCTCACGTATAGTTGCTGTTGTATATCGACATTATGTTTAAGGTCAGACAACACGTTCCTCAAAGATATGTTTTGTATTCCTTAGTATTATATCAAGAATAATTCATAATTGTCGTTCTCTTGTGATTTCTAAATTTTTTTCAATATGTTTTATAAAATAAGTATACCAAAAACTGTGACATTGGCAATTCAAAAGATTACCCATAAGGATTCTATAAGAAATATCACCCTCTGGTATTGTGTCCAAATGCCTGGTAAAGTACCTCAATTTTTGGTGAGGAAACTTGTTTAAGTGGCAATACTTCAATGACAAATTCTTGGGAAAAATTATATATTTTCGAGGAACGTGTCGTCTGACCTTAATAAGTAAGCAGAATGTTTTACAAAAGCTTTTGTGCCGAGGTATATTCAAAATATCAAATTTTGAGACAGGGCATAATAGATAGATAGAAAACACAAAAACACAATCACAGACTGTGGGTAACATGGTCCTTAACTGTCGCTTTACTCGACAATGTTGCACTTTCAGTGTACGATAAATTCTAAATATTAATGCAAGGGGTTCAGGCAAGGATAAGGTCAAAATACTGGCAATAAGACCAAGACTATCACCCAGCACCATAATTTCTGTGGAGATTGTTTATTTTTGACAAGGCATCTTTATCTTAACGACTTTGGATTTTTAAAATTTATGCTAAATGCATTAAAATTTTGTGGATATTATTATTTAATTATCTAAACTATTTAAGAACCCTCTCTACACCGCACACTAAAGAGTTCTGATTCTATTGTATTTTTATGCAGTTAGAGTGATCTGCCCTTAGATCTAAATTCCAATAAATGGAAATACAGTATATTACTCAATTTGTAATCAATTCAAGTATTCTTAACATTCCAAAAGGCCAAGATAAATTAACTGAACATGTTATTTACATGTATGTTCTCCATGGAAAAGAACAACAGTGATTTCTGTTCTCTGATACTGTGTTGTGTTTTAACATTTTTTCCTGGGGGTAAATGCCACGTACCATATATTGAAAATTAAAAAGATAAGATCAAAATTTAGACCTTTATTCAGTATAATTTTCTTGATGTCCAAAAAGCATTTTGCAATGGTGTAGAGAGGGTCCATAATGACTCAACATCTTTGCAAAGTTTCATTTTGATATTCTTCATACAAGCCATTGATAACAACACAGCAAAAATTATTTAAGTCTGCTCAGTAAGCAAGAGAAGATGTTTCACAGATGGATTATTGCTTATTTTTAGTCATTCTTTCAGCCATTTCGTAAGTCAGCAATATACACGTTGACGTCATTGGTGTTTACGGGCTTTGATGATTTATTACGAAGACTGTAAATAAATAATATCAACAATTGGTGTAAACTAATGTTTTTCATTATATTCCATAACAGAACTGACGATTAATGTAATTGTTGTTGTAAATTTCGAATGCTTCAAAGAGGTCCATATTGTTTTATCGATGTCTCTCTACTGATTTTCTCCTTTTTTATAATCATCTTGAGCATTGTTTGTTTATTTCAATCTGCCTTCAAAGTCAAAAGATGTGTTTAGATATTTCGTGTTTTACCAGTGAAATGTATAGATGGTGCAAACACACAACCCTTCCTGAGTATTTTTATAAGACACAATGTTTATTCATTCATTCATATTTTATTTCCTTTATAAAGAGATACAGAATTAAGCTAATTAACACATTAATTTATGTACAATTCAAATAATATTTTATATACCGTAGAGGGATAATCTCCATCGAATATCAAAACTGGACAATAATATCAGATATCGAAATATAGGTATGATAAATTTGGAATTCATTTTTTGAACCATAACAACAACAACAAATATGTAGTGAAAAAAAAGAATAAATAATAATAATAATTTTTGATAATTTGGAGTCATGCAGAAATATAATATTTTTTAAGGATTGTCCATGTTGAATGACATTGGAAGGACTTGCTTATGCATCTCATTCTGTATTTCCTGAATGTTTAAGCGCGTGAGTAGTAGATTCCTTTCAATCTCTTACACGATTAATTCAGTTTTTAAAATACCTTAAGCTTTACAACCGATTTAATAATCTTTTTAAAATACATTAAATATTTACGTAACAATTAAAAAAAAATTAGTTCAAATCTCTCTAAGTGAAGCAATGGTTCTACGTTCTTGTCATTCTCTTCTCTTGCTCTCTCTATATATTTTTACATCATCATAGAAATGTACAAAAACATTAAGCAAGTAAAAATATGAATTTCCCTACTGGACAGTGTTTTTAGAGTGATACGAGTAAATTATGCATATTTATATGCTTAATATTTTGGCATATATTATGTTGGCTGCGTGAGTTAAAGTCTTCTAAATTTTGAAACTGATACGAGGAAAAGGAAACGCAAAAAAATTCTTTCAACACAAAATGATGTATTTTGAGAAACTAATTTCTTTCCCCTTGATTGAATGAAGAAAACATTAGCATTGAAAATGACATTGAAAATGGCAAATGTTCTATCAGTTTTTTTGAAACATGAGTTATAGAAACAACTTATCATTGATTCAAAGTGGGCTGTACGAGTCAGAAAAAACATACTCATTCAGATGACAGATAACAAAAAGACTAATGAATTGTCTTCCACAGATAACGAGCTGCTCATCTGCATAGTTTCCATCTGATTGTTTCAAGGCTGTAAAAAGACATTTTTGCGATTCTATGGGATGAAACTTTTAATGTATCATATTTTCAAGATTTTTGTCTAAACCTACACGATGCCACTCATTGACTGCCATGTCAACATCACTGCCAGTTCAAAAAATGAGAGCACCTGTAAATAATTCTACCTGTATTTATACTTATTGCTAATGGGTCCTGACCCGCGAGGTATTGTTCCAAAATTTTGAATTAAATTTACCGGGTGGTAGTAAATTTTGTATTTACTGCACCAGGTAAATTCAAAATTGACTACATGACAAATACGTATCGAAAGCCTTTTTTCTTCAGTAACTTTCTTCGAAACCTTAATTTTACTAATTATCTTAATTGGTCATGTATTAAAAAAAATCAAAAAAACTTTTACCATAATCCATATGAGTATCATGTTCTAAATTTTGAATTTACTGACTGTAGGTAAATCCAAATTTACAACATTATAACTGGCTATCAGTATGTAAATTTTGTATTTAACTCCACGTAATAATTTAAAATTTACATGATACGAAGAACCATTTTATAAGTTTTGTCATTTCTGGCAAGTCGGATTGGAGAAAGAAAGAGTTTAAAATGATTCAAGTTTCATGTATTTTCATTATGGTATTCTTATATTGTCTTAAGATTGTGAATTGGATTTCAGGACTGATCTGAAACTTTCAAATGTGTAATGACTGTTAAACTCTCGGTAATAGATATTGAAAGTTAATGTTCTTTGAATCAGTCCTGAAAACCTAGAATGTACTTAAGTGCTTGCACTATAAAGAAATCTCCCAGTAATGGTGTAGGTCCATAACATAGGCCTGTTGACCTCTCGATGTGAGTAAAATACCCTTGCTTGGACGTTAAACAATATACGAGTCAATCAAATCAACAAACGTGAACGTCTTCTGTTGAAAAACATTAGAACAAATGCTCAAAATATTATTTGCGCAAATCTGGTTAAAAATTGTTCATTTATTTAAGAAAAATTGATAATCTACATATTAAGTTGAGTTATAATAAATACTATATTGACTCTTGCACAGGTGAGCTAAAAATTAGTCATTTTTCTTATCGAAGAAATGAATATAGATGGTTTCCCCATTGGCTACAGTGTAAATTTGTTATTCTGACATCAAGAATGTATAGGGAAGGTCTCTGGATTCTTCATTAAACGTTCAAGGTTACAGTTAAACATGTGCACTTTATGCAAATTACTTTCTTCACAAAGGGAGCGTAACACTATATCTCGAAAGTTGGGGCAATTCTACGTTGAGAAGAAAGAGCGGCTTCCTCTGATTTGGAGTTGGGTAAACAGGGCTTGCAAATTAAAGAAAACTCATTACCTCTTTCCCAAACACAGACGGTGCTTTAGTAAATTTGATGGACTCGCCATTGACGGGGCTGAGGACAGATTTGCAGGCGTCTGGTGCCAAAACGTAATACACTGGAACAAAAGGATTCATTCTCCGTCATTGTGTTTAACAATATACAAGTCTAACCCAAACATCCATAACCGTGAACTCGGCATTTTACGGCTATTTCCCTTCAAGTCGTTTACTGCCAGATGGCAGCATTTCTGGGTATCAACTGTAGTTTTCGCGGTGCCAGAACAAGATTTACAAGTTCTGCTTTCGTATAGGCGTAGATTTAAAATCGGAGACGGCATATCCTTGATATTTTCCGATGTATTTTCATGTATAATTATACATATTTTCTTAATACGTAATCATCAGAATAACATATACAGAGTAGTGGGCAAGAGCTAGCTTTTCTGAAGAAAAAGTTTGATGCAATTTTAAGCACATTGTAATGCTACTGATATTTCCATTTTGAAAAAAAGAATTACATCGTTAATTACACTTTATAGTGTTAATTAAGATTTGACCTAATCACTCCCTACAGTAATTTGCAGACATGGGGGTAAAATTCCATGCACTAAAGTCACACCAGTATACTGCAGCAATGTAGTTTCTTGTCATTGTAGTACAGATAGACATGTTTGATATAGATTGTAACTGCTGAGTAGTGCCTTACAACCGCATCCTGACACTGGAATGTGTTATACTAAGAACATAGATAATTATTTGGTTCATAGGTGCAGGTCTACATATATCTGAAAATATGGGCCATGTTAATATGACCGTTTCCTTCAATGGTATAAATAAGAAGTAATAAAAACTCCAGTTACAGTGTTTTTCTTGTTTTAATTTTGTTCACTCATTCATGAGACATATAAACACTAATATCACAATTTGGTTTGTATTGCATTTTACATATATCGTACACACGTATCTGTACCTTTTATTTACAATATCAACAATGAAAATAATTTTGATTCATATAAATAAATAACGTTACGAAAATAACAATTGTATGCGAGAAATAATGTGGATTAAAATTGGGAATTTAAGTTGTATTAGCCAGAACAAGAGTATTTTTGGAAATCATTTTTTCCTGGGGTGGGGGGTGGGGGAACTTGGGGGGGGGGGTTAAAACAAGGCAAGACAGGCAAAAATTAAACGATAGTAGCACTTTCTTAAACAGGGGGCACATGTATTTGGGTACGCTTTAGGAATTCATAAATAATAACTAATCTATAGTAAAATGGTTATATGGAATAGATATGAACAGTATGAAGTCATAAAATGTGTATCAAATGATAATGACATGAGGTATCGGAAAAGGAATATATCAGATACATGATTTATATATCACATGATCACAATATCATTATGTCTTCAAGATGTCTTATGAGTATTGTTACCCCCTGTATGTCTACACTTACAGCACTGATTTGTGATGATGTCTGCATTACTGGTGCACAGATTTGGAGCAATGCACTGTTTCGGATTTGGACCAATGCACTGTTTCGGATTTGGACCATTTGAACCATTTCCTTTGAGTTTATTGCAATTCTGCTTCTCTTGATAAGGATGGTAGTTACTGAGAGATTACTTCGTATTTTTGTGCTTTTCTCTTGCATAGAGAATTTTGTCATCATAGCGACAATTTACAGAGGCTGCCATTCATATCTCTTGATTAAAAAGAGTCTTTTGGCGGGATTTCAGTTTAATATCTAGACGGGGATTTCACATTAGTCTATAAGTAGATATTATTTTTTTCTTTTTCATTTACAAGTATGCTCTTCAATTTCTCTCTCACATTCCTGACACGTGACGAAGCAACACCAATGGAATTTACAGAAACACCTGTCCACTACTTTACGCCTGCGCGTTTCATATCCTCTTCCACAACACATCAGTTCACAGCCATCAATGGCTTTCGATGTCTTATTACACACACGACCTTTGGTTCCAAACGAACCTGTTTTCGGATCGGCTTCACAAAAGTCGGGAGATGCTACAAGATACACTAAATCGTACTTAGTATGTGGCTTAAACTGTGGATTTGTAGGCACAAGCCTTGGATGATTTTTTGTCATTACAGCCTTCACTTCCGTCGCTCCGTCGAACTTCTCTTTAATTATCCCCCCTATTTCCCTGAAGGGTGCCATTGCCCGCCAACAAGTCCGCAGCTCACATGACCCCGACACGCCGTGGCACTTACATTCTACTTTCATATTCTGTTCAATAGCCTGAAAAGAGGAAAATAATATTTATAATTCTGTATTTCTGTCATTAATGATTAAAATGATAATAACCAAGATAATTATTTTTACAAACTAAAATTAAGAATGATTATTTAAAATACTGTGCATGTATAAAAAGAATGCGAATCACACGTGCTCTTATTTTAAAGCGATTGGTCTTTTCCCTTTCAAACTCTATTCCCCAAACATGACCTCAAATTGCTGGAGTGTTTCAATTCATTTAAAATATATGATATCAGTTCCATCTCCTATGTTTTAGGACCACCTGTGTAATAGACACGTATTTATATTTGAGCATCAGATCCATCACGTATGGCATATCCCTGGAATGCATTTCAAATATATGTTTACGCTCCTAGCACACAGTTTTTCAAGAGCATAAAATGGCTTTTCATTCAATTACATTGCAAATTTCTTATTATTTTCTGTCGTGTGCAATACATGCATTTTTACCCAAACGTTTAGAAGAAATTACATTTGAATTCGAGCACTTGAAATATGTCTGGAGAATTATTTTATCGCTGTGAAATCTTTCCATTCCGACAGTTGTTCAAGAAAAGAAAGCTTTTTATACAAGTCATGGACCAAAGATTTTCCAATGAATTTAAATTATGTGTTATATGTTTGAAATGAAATTATTTTCTTGCATCATTAAATAAAGTAAAAGTGAATGGTGACCATAAAAATATTTCTGTTTGTTAATAGCGCTGCTCTCTTTTGATAAATTGAAGAATATTGGCATGCGATTTAAGAGTTTTTATAGTACTTTCAAACCAGATCTGGGTGATAAAAGTGCGATTAATCATAATAATTTGCAGTCGAAAAAGTTCAGGGACCCTTATTTGCCGAGGTGAAATGATCGAAGCACTTCAGGTGCTTAATACTGATGGTCAAAATGTCAATTTGCTAAAAATTCACAATATTTTCCTCGCGGCCGGAGGTCCAGAATGGTGTTATTAATAACACCCGAGGGTTTTCCGCAGATGACCAGCCATTCATCATACGGGTTGTTAGCTGCAGAGTGCACCTGGAGACGATATCATACATGTACCATATATCTTTTGTTCAAACTTGACGACAAGCGAACTAGTTTTAACATTTGTCAAATTAGTTTTAACATGTAGACCTAGACTTGTCATAAATGTCCATCGAGCCGTCCATGTTTACGGGTTATGGACAAATTAGACACATTAGTTAGGCCATTACGCCACATCATAGATTTAAGATGCTACTTCGCCTTGTCATATTTTGTCTGTACCTTGATTTATTCGCGAAATCCTGCGTAAAGAATGCTCGGTATCACTAACAATCAGAATAGATATCCAGCTCTGAGATTAATGGTAACGCCATTTTCACATTAATCAGTCAAAGATTTTATTTATTATAAAAGGCAAACATTTTGATCATGATGGATTTAGTGTTTACCAAAAGTTTTGTTAGAAGCGATCATTCTTACATCTTAGTAAACATAGTAATATCGCTGTTACCAATCACACAGGTTTTAACACTGACCCTTGCCCCAAATGCTACAAAGCAATGCATACGGGAGCAAAATATCTCTTATTTAAAAAAAAATTGAATGAATCGCGGAATAAAAAAATAAGTGGATGCAAGGTGTGCTCTCTTCTCATCGTGACAATTTCGTCTTGATAAAAGGAAACTACCCGCACCAATGACATCTTAAGACGTTTAACAAGCAGAGAGTCCTAGAATACTTGGTATTTAGTAAATACAAGTCATAAGATTAATATCCGAAAACGAATGATAAACAAAGTGCTATTTGCCAAGGAATAATACCCTTATAGTTTCAGGACTTTGAAGCTAGCGATCGGCAAGAGGCCGGGGCCAGACGTCCATTACTTCTATTTCATGACCAAGCGGTCTTAATAGGCTTTAATTAGTACTGAAATTAACAAACCTTATTTATCTCTCAGCTAATGAGAAAGAAAGAAAGAAAGAGAGAATGGCAAATGCGAATGATCTCTTGAACTGTCAGTTTACAAGACCTAATACTGACATGTCCAGTTCATCAAGACAACACCGTAATGGTTTTGTGAGGTTTGTTCTTTTGGTCTTCTCTCTACCGACTACTTGTAGTCATTACGCTTTTAACGTTATACGTCGCTTCAATTTTGTTCAAGACTTCTCTCAGATGTGGAAAGGAAGCTAAATAAAGTATCGTGTTTGGAGTAGTCTGTATTTTTAGATATTTTGAGTTGCCGATTTACAGATTTTGAGATAACGTCTTGTATGTTTATTGAAATAGTTTGAAAAGTTTTGCCAGTCTTATGCATGGCGGAATGTTTGGGTACCACGTTTAATTCAAGCTTACATATACAAAAACTGCCAAACAATTTTTTGAACAAAAATATCACTATCTGGTTTCCTTTTTTTCTGTTTGAGGGTAACCTATGTTTTAGTTGGTGCACTGTGACACTTTTTCTCATTTGTCATACCCTTAACGATGTCACACCGACTTTTGCAGTTTGTCATATCGTAGCAATAACGCGCGCCGATAGTATTTCGTGCCCTGGGTGTAATTCGTCTTATGAAACACACACCTCGATCGAAGGCAACAAGGAGATTTTGTATTCTTCATTGAGAGTGTCACCAAAACACCATGATACAGACTGCTTACCAAGTTACAATAAATTAATTCTTGTGGTTTCTTGCTTTTAAGATAGAGTACCGGTATCTCTAAACCCTTTTTGTCTTAAAAAGGGTTTAGAGATTTTTTTTTTACAAAATATTTTCTTCTCCTTGTTTAGAAGCAACAAAAATTGAACGGTTGTATCAAGCCAAATGACCCAAGAAATTCGTGTAGACTTCTCGTATTAAGTCACGAATTCATCCTTCGAAATTGTTATTTCAAACATACACCGAAAAAACATTGAAAAACTCTCTGCCACCATATGATATATAGCGAGATGTATGTTTACATGCAGTTTTAAATATTTATCTAAATATGATGCGGTGTTATATTTATATCAGAATATATTGATGCATATATACGATGTGTTTTCATGCTTTCATGACCTTACGACACTTGTCATTCTGGGGTCAAGGGTAAAGAAATAACCAAACTGGATGCCAAATAAGTTATATACAGAATGTCAAAATGAGACCTTTTTCTGTGTTTCGTTTATATTCTTCCAGACTGATCTCGTTTTTTTTTTTTATGTTACATGATCCACGTGACCAAATTTTCTAGTTTCTAGTAAGAATTGAACTTCAAAAAAAAGTTAAGCTATTAATATGTATTTATGAAAGATGCCAGTTAAATGAGGCATGCTTTCAATGTCTGAATGAAAGAAAGCAGGAGACCAAATCATAGAGAGAGTACATCCCGCTAACATGAGATCCGAAATTGAAAAAGAAGTGAAATAAACGACGATATTCACAGTCTTTTAAAATACATGGCGATAACACTGTCATTTTTAAAATATTTTTAAGAAAAGAAGCTTTAATAAAAATCAGATTTTCTTGGTTTCAATAAGATCAGACGGATGCATAAAACTAGAGTGCCGGGTATGTTCGATATGCCACATTTCTCACAAAACTAGAGGATGTTACAATAAACTTCCATTTATTTGTCCCATTGTTTAATTGTCATTTCCTCGTGAAAACTAGCAACAAAGACCAAGGCTGTTAAACCATACCCCTTACCGTTTAATGGTGCAGACATAAAATTGAAAAGATTCATTTAATTATTAGGATAGCTTTCGTGACAAAAGGGACAGGTCATAAATATACAGCCCCTTATGTGGTCCTTCCCTGTACCCTGGCCCTGCTTCAATAACATTAAATTTATTTTATTCCTGGGTTTCGCATATTTCCTTTTATGAAACCCCCACATTTTGACGATTTAATTTGATAGCGAGAGAGAAATGTTATATTGAGTTTTCTGACGATCTAGTTTTATGATTCTGTGACATCCTATGTCCACGTCCGGTCGCTAAATAGTCTTGCCTTTGCACTGAGAATGTTGATTTCTATTGTTAAAAGGACAAACATTCATTTCAAAAGCTGAACATTCCTTCTTTTTATTAGATTGTACGCCGTGTATATCTTTGTTATTAGCATTTCATTATCATGCAAAGGTGGTTTTTAGATTTAATTTAACCTGTATCTACATATCACAACTGTGAATTACAAATGATAAGATCAATGCAAAAAATCAAAGTTAAAGTCAATATAAGTTCATGACAGTGTTCTTTCTTGAGCAATTTTTTCATGTTTTATCGATAAAAGCGGATTAAAGGGAAAAACTAATCACAAAAGATTGAAAACTTAATAATAAATAACTTACCAAGCGACCGGCTTCATTGTTGTGTAAATTCATTAATCTTCTCCCTGCATTTTTGCCACTTTTCTTTGACTTCTTTTCTCTAGCGTCGACAAATGTCTTAGAAAATGCAATCCCATACGCAATATTGTCTGAACAACCAGACCATTCGAACCCGTCTTTACTCGGTCCTCTCACAGTTCTGTCACAACCACACTTGTTGAGTTTTCCACTCGAACACGCCCTGGTTACAGCATGAGCCACGCCCGCTGCTGATATTGCGTGAACAAAAGATGCTTCCCTTGTTCCTACAGACAAAATTATCGAAAAATTATAAACTGATCTCAATATTGGTCATTTTTCCATTTAATTTTGTTAAGCAAAAAAATCGGTTTTTTCTATATATAGCAACAAATGGGTGTCCGCCTTTATTTGAACAATATCAATTCAATACTAAAAATAACTTGTGGAAACTGATGCTTATTATGTAATTATTTCCATTTTTATTATTTTTGTGATATCATTACGAGGGTAGAGCTAGCAATACAAGGTGGAAATACTTGATAGCCAATAATCTATTTACATGACACTTTGATAGTGTACCTAGATCAAAGCAAGAGAAAGCAAATAGAGTTTTCCCAATATAAAATGACGGTGTTGGAAGCTTTAGCGACAACTCTCTAAGTGATGCTTAAATAAAACTCTGTTTACCTAAGTAAGAGTCTGATTATGTTAAAATACATGACAATCAAAAACAAATAGTTACCACTGATGATTTTCCAATGTAATAGCTTTTCGCAGACACCATCAATTTTAGAATACTTTGAAAAGGAATTTTTTGACTAACCTAATTTTAACACATTCCCAAATAGTGATTTGGGATCCACCATGCTACAATTCCAGCGTCTATTCTTGAACTGGTACTGACATTCTTCTATGGCTTCATGAGCGCCTAGTTTCACGCTTTCCATAACTTCTAAATTCTTTTTACAGATTCTTCTCTGTCTTTTGACTAACCCAACCAGAGAGTCACAATAATTGGCGGCGCTAACAGATGCAGCAGCGCCCGAAGACACGGCTAACGAACTGAAAAAAAAATCAAAAATCTGACATCATGACAATTGCTGGTTAGAATTAAGAGTATTTTGTCTTTATTATAAAACGGAATAGAGATCCTTTACGTTGAGTATATACTAGTATATTTTTTTAAGTGTTTACTTTCTTTCCTTCGCTCTGTTTAAGCCAACAACATTTAGCTATATATCTGTGAAGTAAATCTATAAAAATTCATCGCTATTACGCCCCAAGTGAAAGTAACCCACCAATTTTAGGCCTGTCCAAGTATATTAACAATAATTTGAATACAGTGGCTTGTCTAGACTGAGCTAATATTGATCAAGTTAGTGCCTTCAATTTTCAGGTAAACAAAAAATGTGCTGTGTGACAAACACGGCTTCTAAATGTAAATATAACCTAAAATCGGTCAGCGGCTTGAAGCGGATGCTCTTTTCATTTTCCTTCATTTGTTTCATTTTCAAGACTTTTTAATTGACCAATCATTACAATATCTTTATTTAGCCCGGAGAACAATCTTCGTCAGGGTGATTATAGCTTCTCATATCTGTCTCATCTTCGTGTTTCAGTTAGTTTTGATTCAGAAGTATAGCTACATCACAAAGGCGTTAATGCCAAAGATTAAGGAAATGCTTCAAATTGAAAGAAATATGCTAGATTCCTTATCGCTAAAAATCGTCAAAAAACGTCACAAAGCAAATGATTTCAGCTCTTGAAACCTTTTTAACTTATTTTGGTTAACTAGAAAATTATATAAGTGGGACCTTGTTGCAAATTTAGCCATTGCAATCTTTCTGTTTTTGTTTGAAAGGCGTTTCCTTGTAAATATGCCTTTGGCAATATAGAATCAATTTTAACAGGTTATAAATTAAAAATATATATAAATGTACTGAGAAGGTGTTAAAATTAACCTAATTTCGAGGAATGCAAAAGTATCAAAGGCGTGTGATCTACGCGCGTTACCTCCGGGCTTGGGTAATCAGGTTTTTTTTCACTCTCCTGATTAATATCATACACGAGTTTTCATAAGTTTGGACTGCCTTTTAAAGTTGTTATCGCATTTATACTATGTTTCATATTTTTTGTAAGCACATAACATGATTCTAATAGTGTTTATTTAGAAAACAGATCCGTCACTAGTGCTGTTTCGCATGCAGGTACTAATTCAACAATTCGATTATTTTGAAATGTTAATAACATATTACTGAATCAAAAAGACTAATGTGTGATATACTAATGGCTTTTTTATATGATGTTGGTGTTACATAATACTAATTTTCAGGGTTTTCTTTATTGTGCAACAGTTCAAAAACTTAAAAAAAAACAAACATTTAATTTCGATTACATGTACACTGTATTTACAAGTGAATATCATCATCACATTCCATATACACTGTATAATATTTCTTTACCAAATGTATGGAAAACGTACAAAATTTTAGTAACCCTGCTTGCAGTTTTTGTTTTAAACAAATTTAACAAATTCTTCATTTGATCACAGTAGTTTGCTGATATGTACAAGGAACATTTGAAATAACTAAATATAGATGTTCTGTACTACAACTTCTATTTACCATTTATCTGGTAATACTTAACCATTTCAGTAACAACGATCTGCGAACGGCTCCTAGGGCAAATAAACGAACAAAACCATATCTTGAGCAATTCTACAAAGTTTGATAGACGATTGGGAATTGTTGACCAAGGTCTTAAACGCGACATTCTAGATTTCATTTCCTTCTGTCTCTGGATACTGGGGATATTTAATGAGTTTCAATTTCATCTTTGTCGTACATATGGCAAAAAATTCAATGAAAGTTATATTGTTATACTTTGATTTATCGCGGGAAACTAGCAGACGAGAGACAGAGCAAAGTTTTGACGGGAACACTTAACGACTGTTTATCCTCCCAATTTCATTTCATGTCTTTTTTAAAACCGTAATAAAACACCAGCTTTCAAGAAACAATTCAGTGGCGTGCTCGTTATTTATCGAATATGTGTGATTTACGAGCGTAATCTTACAATATGATGTTGGTGATGCTCCCGCGCACTGATACAGCTGTCAAATCACGTGTGATAACGAAGCTTCCGTACTGCTAACTAGACAGGCCACGAGTCCCGTCAGCCTTACTTACATAATTATATATGACAACTTCCCTAGAAACTTTTTGGCATTATTTACCATCAAACAATACACAGAGAATATTTTTCGGATTAACAAGCGTCTACTACAGTAAAAATTCTGATTTGTCTGTTTAAAGAATTAAGATGAATACTTACAGCCATTTGATACTGTCGGCAAGAGAGGTGAGGTGCAATAATACATAAACTCCCAATAAAAGTGATAATAGGTCCAGTCGATTCATTATTTAAATCAGACACCTCTTCAATTATTTGGTGATGTCACTGCTATATATTGTTAGGTACCTTGTCCGTTAAAATCTTCACAGAAATAATATATCCTTCGAATATAAAATGAAAAATCAAACAATTCTTTTTTTCAATGTGGTCCAGACTTCGTAAACTTTGTTTTCATCCATCTAGAGTCTCACAAGATCATGAAATCATTTCAAAGTTTCCATAAGTTAAAGGAATATTGCTGGAAGTCCTGTGGTCTCCACGTGTTTTGGTATTTTGGAAAACGTCTCGGTATTTATAAAACCCACACTTTTATCAATAAGTTATGATAATTCGAAGTGACAATTATCTTAGTTGTAGCCAGTCGAATTGATATCATATGAATGAACCTATCGGCGACATGCAAGAGAAACCATTTGTCTCCTATTAACCCCTAAGCCTCAATGAGTAAGCTCCGCCCACCAGCCCGTGGAACGAATTTCGATTGGCTTCAGTGAAGCGGAGCACGCCTTAAATTGTTGTAATTACTTGTTTGTCGGTAAATTGGAGTGATTTAGTTTTTGAGTTATTAGATTGCCTCACTTAGAATTATCACAGGATTAAAGGTATATTTCACATTGTCCATTTTCTTCATTCATACTCTGGCCTGTGTACACATTTCTATCTTTAGTCCTACGTCATCGCTAAAATCGTTGAATAAAAATTAATGCAAAAAGGCAGACTTCTTATTTCACCTAAATTTATTTAGTGACCATTTTAAAAAGATGTATTTAAATAAAATATTTTTATGAATCGAGCGAACAAAGCTTGAAACATCAAAAGATAATATAACAATTTAATATCGGTGGGAGCGACTTCTATTTGCTAGGTATTCTAAATATCTTAGGAATACTTTTTATGACTAATCAATTTTTTTATCAGGACAAACGTAGGTATTTGTAGCGGATTTGCTGACTTTATTCAGGAATCGCAACTTGTTTGTACACTAGAGGGTGTTTTACGATTGTAAATGTGATATTTCCGGCGGCTATGTCTCTTTTCAAACACACGGAATCGATTCTGTATTTTAACATCACCAATGAGTGGGAGGAAGAAAATAGTCGGATATTTTTAATCAATGTCCATTTTTCTCTCTAACGTTCTTGATTTACGCAGATCCTTTCCTTTCAGAATTTTATAATACTCCATAAATTTTGAAAACAATTACTCTGTTTAACCGACTGTAGAGATTGAATGGTTTCCATAAGTTTTTGAGTAGTCGTCTGTTTGAAAACGATACCACATAAATCCGATTATATGTCTCGATCTTTCATCCCCAAGACGTCACAAATTTCAGAACAATTACGCAACGATGAAAGTAAAAGCAACATAGAAAATGTTACGTGGTTTCCTTCCACAAATGAAGCAGTTTCCGGAATATTCGCAATATGTGAGGTTTTGTTCTCATAAGTCACAACTCCTCCCGAAAAAAAGTATCAATCATCAAATACTGGATCCTCTATTCATTTGTTGTTGTAAGCTATACTAGAACTTTTCATCCTCAAGTCTAAAAACATGAAACAATCGACCGCTATTTGGTTCAAATTAGTTATGTAGCTTCAGAAGTTCCCACTACAAAATGATAATTTATTTTAAATCCGATTACTCCTTTTCTAAACGGCACAGGAAAACGGAAAAAGAGGGTCTCCTAACAGCTTTTGAGTTAAGAAATTAATCCTTGCAAATTTCGCGAATCTCAGACTATTCTGAGAGGTTTCTTCGTAAAAAAAAAAAAAAAAAAAAGTGAATGAGGCAATAAAGAGCTTTCTTTTTGAAAAAGCATATAATTTCTTGCCGTCCGCTAACCGCCTATTAGTTGGAATCTGTTCCTTTTTAACGCCTTGATACTGTGTTTATATTTGCTTGTGTTCTTCTCTTCTTGTTTTGATGCAACTCCGTTCCCCGTATCTCTCAGCGTTTACATTCAATATACAATTGCAACAAAACTTGAAATTGCTTTAATCAGATCTTGTGCCGTAGTCTTTGATCGTAACATTCCAGGCACATAAAGAACACAAATGTCTATCATTCTACACTTAAACCAAAGATTTCCAAAACTATATGTGGTATCAATCTCCTTCTGTAAATGAACGGGATAGCTTTTACCTTCTCTCGGTGCAAGATAGATTTCTTTGTGTTAAAAATGTAGCCGTCTTTATTTAGCTTTTTTGTCAAACTGGATGAACGTTTTTTTATCAAACTTGTGGCTTATCTTTTAAAAAAATTCAATTATATTCGTATTTGTCACATTACAACCATCAATAATCGCCCAGTTGTTGAAATCTCGTCAGACATCTCAAGAGGTCGATTCATGAGGGCCCCTAAATCACGAACCTACCAAATCCCGTTTTGGCATATCAGTTCTATTTCTTAGTTTGCTAACAATTTTTGAAACACAGAAGTTTTCCTCATTTCGTGGACGTGTATTTCAAACAATTCCAAATCATGCTGACATTCTGCATAAACAACTCGTTATGGATAAATGTCAATTAAATTGGAGACTGAAGTAAAACTCCTACAATCTGAGCACGATTTTTCTCCTGCGTTTTCAACATCTCTTTATGACTACATTTGAAATTAAGATATAATTACTATACGAGATCGAGAAAAAGATCCAAATACACAGTGTACCTTGAAATTCATACCATCAAATAAACTCGTTTTAATAAAAAGTAGGTTATATGCTCTTTCGAGGATTCAATTCCTCGCACATAAAAGCCGAGTATTTGACAAGTGTGATCGATGACCACAAATGACCCTTGCTACTACTCCTATTTTCCGACTAAGTTTTCTTGATGGATGGAAATTTAAACACGTTAATCTCAAAACAGTGACAAAGGTGGAGAAAAGAGGAAATTCCTGTAAACAATGGGCTTAGACGCAAAATATTAGAGAACTTCAGATAATGAAAAGGCTATATGCCGCAATACGAAGGACACGTGGAGCTTGTGTCAATTTCTTTAAAAAAAAAAAAAGGAAAGGAAGAAAAACTTTTTTATTTAACAAAGAGTTCTATAGATAATTCCTTAAACCGCCTGTCAACCGATTTAAATCCAAAACTTTCTAATCTTTTTTTTTTTAAGCAAAAAATTATCTTTTTGAGGTGTTGTGTATTTAAAGTCTAGATAATACAAGATAAAACTTTGTAATAATTTTAACTCAATATGTCGGCGCCTTTACAACTGCAATCTTCCTCCGTCAAACTAATTAAAATTAAACTCATGTCCAGCCCAATCGGTAGCGCCCTATGTCCGTTAATTATATAATTACTGTCATATTATCACTTACGCAGCACGCGTGTTTGTTTATAGTGAAAACACCTGTCTGGATTTAGGACACAATGCTGACCCATATTAATTAGCACATTACATGTTATAATTACTCTTTCTGGGTGGATGAACCGCTGACCAAAAAATTAATTGCACACGTGTCAATCTTGTTAAAACTTGGAATACTACTTTAATAACCGTATGTCATTACACCTTTTTAACAATACCATTTAACTGTTTTTTAAAGTCCCATTACATGATGTATTACAATAAATACTATTTTGTACTTCAATGCAAAATAAAACTGGCATGCCCTCTTTTATTTATTTCTGAGGGTTCATATCGTTTTTTCAGTCTGTTTAATATTTTTGCCCTTCGTTCATAATTTTCTGACTATTACTTCATCCAATTCTTTATTTATCTTTTTTTCAACGGCGATATGCATCTCCGTGAATAGCTAATTTAAAGCGAAAGGGGATGCAAGGAAGGTTTTTGGTAACCCCCTCCTCTTACACCGATTTTTTTTTTTTTTTTTTTTTCAAAATGGGTACCATTGGGTTCAGGTGCATTTTCAAATATTTTTTTTAAAAAGTATTATCTACCAACATTACACATTAAACAGATTCAAAATAATTTTGTTTTGTTTCCAATATAGTTATTACTTTTTATAAAGGGATAATTTTAAAAACACAACGCAACACGTTGCACAAACGTCCAACGCAACCCCTTCTGACAGTCTTGAAATGGCCGCAGTACGTACTCTTATTGTACAACTTTATAAAAACTGAATATTTTCCTCGCACTTCCAACTTTCATAGCACCAAAGATGTACACAAGCTGCATAACCTTCTCGGTGTGTTTTAATATACCCTATAAATGAGATAGGATTCGTGCCTCTTTTACGTGTCAGCTTAGTTTATAGCCCAGCTGATGAGCACGATGGCAGATTAATTCCCCTTTATTAGCGTTCTGTTTACAGCTTGACCCCCCATTTCAGTGTAATTTTATAGCATTGATAGGTAATTGCCAGACCAGACAAATAATGAGATTTTGAAGTATACAAAACTTTACGTATAGAAGGGTAAATAAATCTTGGTCATCCCTTATACTATAAAATTAATACCTGTACCCAGCGACATTAATAACAGTGTCTGTGTTGTACCTCAAGACAAATTTTATCGTGAAGAATTTTGTTCTTTCATTTCATTAAATCTAAAGCTTGTAACAGAAAAAAATCTATGGGGTTGTTAAAAAAAATTAATAAAAATAATAAATAAAATAAAACAAAATTTAAAAATAATCGAAAAAAAAATTACTTTTGACAGCAATATAAAATTGTATATAAAAATGATCCTTCTGTAAATTCTTTCAATGAACTTGAATTGCATTATCTATTGTAATTTGAGATTGAGACTTTGAATTCCCAATTAAACTTCTTCTGGCTGCAATACAATTAAACACTGATCAACATTTCAACATCTCATATATGCGTTCGGTGCACAAACTACATGTAGATATATTCAGCTCCAATGAGCTCAACCAAGTTGCCTAGATTACATATACAGACAAAAGGGGGGGGGGAGAGAAGAAGACAACAACAAATCAGAATAACGATAAAAAAATATTTATTGTCACAGTGTATGTTTTTATATCTCAGCAACTCCTGAACACATGGATTGCAAAATACTGTGAAAGGAATCATTTTTCTGATGACCTTGGATTCATATTTGTAGCAGATTTGATAACTTGTTACCCAGCTAAATGGGGATGAAATTCACATGATGATCACATTAAAAATTTACATGAAAGAGAAATTCAAACTTCCATCATTAACATGTAGCAAACCTGATTACACCATTAACAAAGAACTAGTGTAGACTGGATAAGACAGAGACTACAAGTCTTGATGTTAGTCACTGGTAAGATGGCACTATTTCATTATGAAGAGTCACTTTCTTCTCTTCATGCCTTTACAAAACTCTGTACCTTGAAGAACTTTTCGGTTCCACAATTCAACCTTTATGGCACTATCTACCACAGGGAATTCATTGACAGAGTTTTTCAAACAGTTTGAATATATATGCCATTTCTCCTGTGCTAATCTTGAAAAGTTTGATTTATAAATATTAGCTTCATCATTGTTTTCAAATTGTAATCCACAACAAAATATTCTATAATGTAGAACACACCAAATTGTCACCACTGCTTCACTCGATAAACACCCATCAGCATTTACATTATATAAATCCATGAAATTACTACACAACAAAATATCATTCTCTGCATCATAAATCATTATTTGAACATAGTCTGGAGAAATTAAAATAGAGGGTACCACACAGTTTGGTGAGTTTGGGTATTGTTGTTTCTGGAGTAATGAGAACACAATTGTCTGTGCTATGGCCTCTTCACTTGTCCAAGTGGCTCTTCTTTTCACTTCCGCATTTGTTTTTCTGTCAGCATATTCCAAGTTTTCATCAACTTTTAATGGTAAAAACATTTTTCTTCAAACAAATTATTTTTCTTATGATGAATAGTCAGAACAAAATTTTGATAGTTGTATGTACATGTCTCCTTTGAAGTTCCCAATATTTGAGGCTTAAAAAAATGATATAAAATCTATCCAACCAAACCTATTTCATTAGAATTTTTTCAACACATCCTTAACATTTAATACTACCCATAACTGTTGTTATTTAGCTAATACTAGTTTGGTCATTTTGCTTCAATTCTAAAACCTATTTATGCATATCTAAGTTAAAGTAAATTTGAAACCTTAGTCATAAAATACTGTGCAATGTAAATCCGAAATATTGCAGTGTTCACTGGAGATAACACCTGTTCTTTGATGGCAGATCCTTTCATTTAATTTGAGTACATTGACTGTATTGGTCTCTCTCTTCATCTATATAAAATAATTGCTGGGATAAAAAAATTGAAACTGGCTTACCATGTAAGTGTGGCCTTTTTACTGCTGTAATCTCCTCCTGGCCTGGTGTGCTAGACAAACTGAGGTCACATTTTGCAATACTTTGGTTCTCAGGATGATGAGGTGAAAAGATAATATCAGCATGTCCATGCCATACTTCTTCATGTCCTGACACAATTAAATATGTTAATATTTGTTACATAAAATGTCAACTACATGTATTCTGGATAATATATTTTTATATATTTGTTATCCTCCTTTCAGAAGGCAAAAAAAGTACACTGGGCTATTACTAGTGTATGAATCTGTTAAGTTCCTACAATTATATTTAAATCACTTCAGTATTTATACATAATTATTTGATATTTTCTTTAAAAACATTAACATTTTCCACTCCGTAAGTACATACCTATGCCCGTATTTCCATAACTTGGCTGCACTTCACACCCACATCTGTTCCCTTCCTTTCCCCTGGAATCAATGTGATAGGATTGACCTGGAGCAAGCTTTCCAAGGAGGTGTTCTGCTACTGCAATGGTGAAGTCAGTGTCTGTTGGTGGAGTATGCTTGATGTCAGTTTCATCACTTTTCTTATTTTTCTTCCCAGTTACTTTGTTAAGACTTTGTTCATGGAGGTCTACAACCAAAAATAAAACACATAAATGTGTTAATTAAAAAAAACCACAATACTTATGCATGCTAATCATTGCAAAGTTACATTTCAAAGGCATATTTCCTTTCAAAATAAATGAAAACGTATTGATTGTTATAAGGGAATACTAAGTCTTCCAGTATGAAAAGGTGGGGGTAAGAGTAACAGAAATCTCAGATTAACAATGGACAATATAAGGATGTGAACCCATGTCCAAGAACAGCTGATGAACTCTGGACGTCTACAAGTACATTTTACACTTACATATAAATGATCTGCTTCGACAACCTCGAAGACACAATAGCATACACTTAAGTCTTTGACACATTAATCAAGAGACCTGACCAAGACCTGTTGCTGTACAATTTGAGTGTGCAAACATATATTTAGGGCACACATACCCAGCACCAATTTTTACACATGCTTTGTCAACAGGTTGGGACCAATCGCTCAAATGGGATATAATAGCCCATTTAGGATATGATATCCCAAACGGGATATAAATTTACAGTGCAAAATGAAAATCTTTATTTTAGCTATAAATATCATAAATCCACATCAAGGAACTTATAAAGGAATAACTTTTGGTTAACAAGTTTTTCTGTATGCCCACTGTTTAGGAGATTGATCCCTTGGATGTTCCTAAACTTCTTGGGTATCAATCTAACAAACTGTAGGGTTGAGGAATAACTTGCTTGCCAAAAGTTATTCCTTTTTAAGTATTTTGAATCAGATTTATGATAATAGCAAAACTAAAAACACTTCATTTTTTGCACTGTAAATTTATATCCCATTTGGAATATTATATCCCAGACGGGTTATTATATCCCATTTGGGGCGATTGGTCCCAACCTGGTCAATGTATTTTTTTTTGCTCATTACCATTGTTTACTTTCAACGATCTGTTCCCCTTTCTCACCTATATTTAAAAAATAACTGTTAAGTAGAGACAATGCGTCTTTCTTGAGCGCATCAATTCCTGCAATATTCTCATTGCTTGTGTTTTGGCATGCAGTCAGGAAATCTATGCCTGGTTTGAATAGTGAAGAAAAGTTCACATTCAGTGATCTCACGTCACGTTTCGACTCTTCGTCTGGCCTTTCCACCCTCACCAGGTCAAATTTACAGACGGCATCAGAGAATAAAACATTTCTTGTTGCATTGCACAATCCTAGTTCTAAAACTGCAAATCTCAGTTTGTGCAAATGTGTAAGAGCAAGTTCAATATTTTTGTTTACGAATATTTCCGCCATTTTCACAATCGTAATGTACGAAGTAGAAATCGGGCAACCCGGTAAGTTCCGGATAAATATGTCGCGCTGTCTGTTGAACAGGGTGCATTGAAGCGGATTCCTTAATTTTTCTCAGGAACAAAGACCATTTGAAGTAAAATAATAATAATAATAATAATAATAATAAAAGTAAATAATCAAACAAGCAAAGGTTTATCTAAATAATTCAAGCACAAAGGATAAAACTAATAAAATTAGTACATGATTTGTTGTACATATCGTATATAACCGTTATGAACAACTGGTCCATATTGTTCTTCAGTCCCTTAGTTCTTGAAACAGGGGTACGGGGAAGGTCTGGGAGGGGTATCCTTTCCTTAGGCTAGCTTAATTGATACGGTTCTGGTGCATCTGGATGCCAGCCGCGTTTTCCTTGAAATATTAAAGAAATAAAATCTAGTAGTATGAATTGAAACAGATGAATCTATTTTGTTTTAAGGGAGCCGACTGGGGTTTTATTGTGTGAAAACTACTATAGAGAAACTCTTTAATTTTATACCATATGTACCTTACATTGACTTCGGTATACATGCCAAGTTTAGTGAAAATCTACCGTCTGGATATTTTTTAGGGACAAGCTCAAAATACAGGTACATTTACTATAGGATTATATAGGAAAATACCATTTTTTCGCACTTCGAAGCAAATTATACAAATGCTACTATAGACTTTTTGCTCAAATTATAATATTTGATGGGTAATACTATATTGTACATTTTGTGCATGAAACACAAAATTCTACCGTCTGGTTTCCAGAGGGAGCATCTCAAAATGTCAACATTCATGATATTTTCCTGTTTTTATGGAGTACAACAAAACATGACAGATACCACAGATTTACACAAAAAATAATAAAAATGATTGTTAGATTCTCAATTTCCTACTTTTAAAATTTCAAGAGCATGTATTTTATACTTTTTATTTTATGGCATAATTAATGACCCCGCTTAAAGAACTTTGGTTATTCATAACGTCAAAAATACATATTATGACGTCTGTATACCCATCATTTGAAAAATCGTTCAAAAAATCAGTTATTTAAAAATGTAATTAGATTTTTGACCTTAGATTTCCTAAATTTGTTAATTTTTATAAATTATGTGAAAATAGTTGCTTTAAAAGAGTAAATACACTTTGTTTTACTATGCTGCGCGATGTATTGCGCAATGAAAACCCCAGTCGGCCCCCTTAAAAAAAATCTATATTTGAGTCTCTTTTTCTGGGAGTGCGATTGCACTTGATAAATCCCCTTCCAATGACCTTGTGTTTTATATGATCTTAATCTTATATAGTTTTGATACATTAGCAATTTATAAAAAATTCTGAGTTTATATAGCTACAGATCTGTAGCTCGCTGGTCTAAAAAAAAAATGGACTGGAAGTCGAAAGAGCTACAGTGCGCCCATTGAAAAAGAGTGTATATTTATTGTGCATAAAAAGTGCACTGTTTCCCGATTTATTTCTCTATATATTTAAATGAAAACATTACTGCCCGTATGCTTCTTGAAGAAATAAATCGAGAAACAGCGCACTTTTTTAGTGCGCAATAAATACATGTATACACTTTTGTCAATGGTCGTCCATCTCAAGTTTTTTCAGACCAGCGAGCCACAGTTTTTGTATCAGGTAGAGTAAATTCAAAGGTCGGGATTCTGTCAAAAATCATCAAAACGGATACAACCTTCATCTAAAACTCATCAAGGCAAAATCACATTCTAAAAACCAGCTCTATATCTACAAGCTTCTAGGGAGAAAAACTCTGTAAATATACTTAAGAAATAAGGAATCATTTTTTAAAAAATACGGGTTAGTCACATGATGAAATCCCCTAAAGCCCGAAGGAAATTATATATTTTTTCAAACTTCAAACGGTACATGATGTATAATTAAATTGAATGCGTTGAACATGTGGACCTTTTTTTATGACCTAATTTTAGACGAGCCTGTATCTATGCAGTGTATGGGGGAAAACATTTGCAAATGTATATATTAATTTTTCTAAGTCCAAGGAGCCACATTTCCCTAAAAATCACCGAAGCGGATCAAAATGTAAACCTGTGGCCCGTTTTACAAAAGAACTTACGACTAAGACCAAAAACTTAAGTTGATTGTAAAATTTTTCAAAATTAATGATTCTGTTTAAAATTGATAGCGTAAAAGTATCTTTCTACATATATTTAATAAGATTAAAATCGTTTTCTATTTAATGTAAATTAGAAAGTTACCAGCAGAATTAAATTTTGGTCTTAGTCGTTTGCTTGTTTGTTTGTTTGTTTGTATGTTGTTTAACGTCCCTCTCGAGAATTTTTCACTCATATGGAGACGCCACCACTTGCCGGTGGAGAGCTGCAAATTTTGTCCTATACTCGGCACTTACGGCCATTGAGCAGCGAGGGATCTTTATCGTGCCAGCACCTACTGCGACACGGGACCTCGGTTTATACGGTCTCATCCGAAGGACCGGTCTCCACGTCCCACAGTGGGATTCTAACCCGCGACGTAAGGATCAACTCCTTACTTCGCGACTCCAGAGCAGACGCTCTAACCACTGCGCCACGCGGGCGACGGTCTTAGTCGTAAGTTCTTTTGTAAAACGGGCCTCAGATCTGTAATTCCTATCAAAATTCTGCTCAATTCTTACAAGCGTCTAGGAAAAGTCCGGTAAACAAAATGGGAAAAATAGACTGACAGACAGACAGCACGGAAGCATGGACAGACAGAGAGGAAACCGTTAGTCCCTCCCTGTTCTATTTGAAGGGGATTAATTAATACAGTTAATTGCTTGAGAACAATGATGATAATCTGATGATGAAATATTTAAAAATACTATTTTCTACTTTTTGCAACTTACTTAACGTCTATATATAATTTGAACTTACTAATTATTTGTACAATCATATGGAGTTGGCGGACTGTGGTATTTATAATTAGACATCTAGAGGGTTAGGCAAGATCGATCATCGTTATCAATGACCATCAACATAGATGTCATTCCGCATTTTCTGAGGAAAGTTACACCTGGAAGCCTTTTATTAACTCATCACACAATTATTTTTCCGTGTCTCATTCACCTTTTTTGTTGCGGAAAATATTCAAATGGCGCGATACCTAATTGCACTGTCTCGTGCTTAAACTCAGCTTTTCGACCAATAATAATCGGATCCGAAGATGCGGGAAATTCCTTATGAAACGGGCATATACCGAAATATGAAGGAAAATAAGAATTCCAATGCTAAGTCATGCGTGCCCGACAGCGAATTAAACTTCACGAAAATAGAAAAAAATCTTTAACCTGAAAGTACTTACATGTAAATGTGAACTGATTGCTTAAAGATTTTAATTTAACGGCGATTTGGCTCAAGATTAATATTCATGCGAAACACAATTAAAAAAATGACTTTTAATCTTCTAAATAAAATGTACAGTCAGTAACCTACTGTGACAAATGAATATAGTTTTCATCACCAAAGAGCATTGTTTGAATATAATTGTTTAACTCTTCTTCTCAAAGAAATATGACCCAGATCAGAAAGTTGAGTTTCATTATGTTATCTGTCTCTTATTCACATTCAACATAATGTATGTTTTTCTTCTTCTTCTTTAGGCACCTTGATTGCATTGTATAAAGTAAGAAAGAACAGGAAGAATGTGATACGTACAGTAAGATTCGATCTCTAGCTTAAAAAAGAGGCCCATGGACCACAACGCTCATTTGACTAACATTAGACCTGCTTTCTTCTGTAGATGTTTCCCGATCTTTATTCTCATAAAAATGGCCCCATGTTGTGGCCCCAATATAACCCCAAGGGTCCATGTCTTAACTGAACTTGAATCAAAACAACATGGACATGTTTCAATATCAATAAAAACATGGTCTTGTTGTTTTGGAGAAGAGGACCTTTTAAAGATATTTATCTTGTATGTACATGTATTATGTATTTGATCCATAATTTTAGCCCCAACCCAAACCCAGGGTTCATAATTTTAAACAAAACAAGAGGCCCATGGGCCACATCGCTCACCTGAGCACATTGGCTAAGCAAAAGCACAAATCAGTATTGAAAAGATTACCGGGGGCGGGGGGGGGGGGGGTGGGGTGGGGGGGCTTGAATTTTAAACTACTTGAATCTACACTACCTGAGGATGCTTCCATATCAAAATGATAAATAATGGCTTCGAGTTCTTCAAAAGAAAATATTTTCCTATATATTTCAATTTAAGACTTTGATCCTCCATTGTAGCCCCACTCTACCCCTGGGGGTCATGATTTGAAAAAAATATTATCTACACTACCCGAGGATGCTTCCACATAAATATGACCAATCAGGGCTTTGCTGTTCCTGAGACGAAGATTTTTAAAGGTTTTTCCTATATATTTCTATGTAAAACTTTGATCCCCTTTTGTGAGCCCCACTCTATCTCCTGGGGTCATGATTTGATTAATTTTGAATCTAGAATATGTTTTTTAAAAAGCTTTCAAATAACTTTCCCTTTTTCTTGCCCAATGATTCCTTGAGATGAAGAGTTTTAAATGACTCGACCTATTATTGCCTTTTCTTGATTATCTAACCTTGAAAGGGGCATGGTCCTTCAGTCATTTGTACACTTTTGAATCCTCACCCAGGGATACTTTGTGTCAAGAAATTGGCCCCGTGGTTCTAAAGAATAGGTAAAAAATGTCCGACATTGACAGACGGACAGAATGACGCCAATGATCAGAAAAGTTCACTTGAGCTTACAGCTCAGGTGAGCTAAAACGAAAAAATCACGTCTAAATGTAGCATCGAATCATTTTACTTTAATGTGTTAAAAAGGGGGGAGCAAACTAGGCCCCAACAGCACATACATTTTTCATGTACCTTCTAAACAGACGACCATGACGTCATAGTCTCTGAAGTTTGGTTACAATTTTAGAATTCCTTAAAGAGACTTTAAGAGTATTTGCATTCTTGAGCATGAACAATTTTG